GTGTGGGTGAAGAAGTCTAACTTGAAAGAATTATTCGCGTTACACAAAAAAATTTGTTTATTATTTTATTATTATAAATATTAAATTATTACTTTATTTGCGCGCATTATTTCCCTTAAAATTTATAATTACAACGAATCGACATTTATAATGAACGAATACATAGTCATCCTAACTGATGCCTATTCTTAACATATTATAATGCTTTCCTCCGGAGATCTTACCAAATAATTTCGAAATAAAAGTAAACTAATTTGTAACTTTAAATTAGTTAATTAAGCGAACACGATATTTAAAAAGAATTTAATAATTTAGAAGGCACAACAAGAAAATTTAAATTGATGAGTAAAAAAAATTATATTTTTTTGTTTTAATTAACATTGAATTACAATAATACAATAAATTTAATTTAGTTATAAGGCGAGAAACGAAATTAATATGATCTTGGCGAGGATGTGTCCTCGATGATGCGCATTATCGATGATTCATCAGGATCTTTAACAATAATTCAATATAATACGAATTACATACATGTAAAAAAAACTTATGTTTAATTTATCTTTGCTTCTTTGAGAATCCGGTAGTTCCCGTGCCAATCAGAAAAATCCCGTCCGCTTAGACGTATTAATTGGCCAAGCTAGGTTTCTTGATTATTTCACAAATTTTTTTCAAAGTTACGTAACGAATCTTATTCGTTTAGCGAAACGCATCAAGACCAATACAGTCTTTTTGATTATTTCATCAAAATTTACGAAACGACTCTTTTTCGTTAACAACACGTACACACATCAAGTCAGTCTTCTTGATTGTCACCACGAAATTTACTTAGCTAATTCTAATAAAATGTGTACGTTTAGCAAAACGTTGTTTTTTACGTCGTCAGGCCTACTTTTTATAGCAGCGATTTTAGTAAGCTGTCATTCTATTTGCAATAGCGAAAAAATTATTTAGAATGATCTTATCATTTAACAGATTTTTGATAAACGTTTTTGTTTTCTCCACCATCTATTCAATAGAAATCTTGACTTTTTACTCCCATCACATTTTTCTTTTTTTTTACAATCTTTTCAACAACTGCGCAAAAACCTTTCTTTCCCCTTCTTCCGATAATTAAAAAAAAAATCATTTCAGAAAAATTTATTTTTATTTATTTCTTATGTAGAATATAATGGTTCTTATGGGTCTATATAATTAGATTCTTATGGGTAAAAGTTTCGGTGTTAGCGCTTTAGAAACTCACGGGGAGTATTTTACTAAATGTGTTGTTAAATACTGCTTGTTACTATTTTTAAAAAATATTCAAATAGAGCAATTAACGCGAATTACGAATTGTGTTGTACTATTTTATTTTTTGATTTAATCTGTGCTAATTAAATTTAAAAATATTTTCCTAAATGTTTTTATTTTACAAAAAATAAAAAATATTTAGTTTATACCGTATTGTTGATATCCACTAACTACAGTCATAATTTTTATGGAAAAACTTAATTAAATTTGGACAGGGTATTTTTAATCATTGCGTTAAAAAAGACTTCCAAAGTTTTTGTATTAATTCTTTACAAAACTTTTACATTAGCTTATCAGGTCCACGAATTTTGTTAATTTAAATTGATTTATTAGACTCACGCATCTTCCCACAATGTAAATCTTTAGTTATAAATGAGGACCAGAGTTGCAACATGCTTGAAATAAGAAGTATACAGAATGAAGTAGAAAGTAAAATAAAGAGCAGTAGTAGATTGTAGATTGTTGTTCATTCTCAACAAACTTGAAGGGTGGGTTTGAAAAAAACTACAAAGACTTGACACATATGCCAAATGCACATAAGTCATAGGTTGAAATAGTCTTTTCACAGTATTATTCTTCTTTCTCACGGCAATATTTGTGTCAAATGAATACCTTTTACTGCAATCGCATTTGCGTCATATAAATGGGAACGAAAAACGGATTTATTTTTACATTTCTAAACACAAAAGGCTATGGAGACACTCCGTCCACAATCGCAGCGAAATCAAACCGCTTTGGCAAGAGAATGGTGCTCTGTTTTCGAAGGGACGGGAAGAGTATGATCTGTTATGAACTGGTAAAGCCGGCTAAAATGATTAATACCATACGGTACTAATCCATCCATTGGACATAATTGGCTCGCGACATGTTAAAATTACTCAACTGTGAAGTGCATTACTTAACATGAAAAGAAAGTCTTTATACGACATCGAGGTATAATTTTTGATATATTATGACAGAGTGAGGTAGTTAATAGACAGACTTCACGACCGCAAGGAAAACAAAAAAAACAGTTCAGATCGATTTTCTATCAGTGGTAGACATTTTGCTAATTTTTTAAAGGAAAATCTTGAGATGAAGTCTATTTTTTAGGATAAAATTCCAACTTGTGTGGTGGTGTGCAAATTGATTTTACGTTTGCCATTAAGGCTTACCTATGCTAGTTATATGCAGAAGATGGCCATTAGTTTCTTTAAAATTAATTTTTTTGTGCTATTATTTCTCCAACCAGTCTGTAGTGTTGTCCAAGGAAGTTTTCTTGTACAAGGAATGAGACAGCGGAAGGTTTGACTTTTTAAACCTAAACTGGCTTAAGACAAGCCTACGGGACATGCGGTAGGGAATCTTCATTTTTTGACAAGGTGCTTCGAACTTCCTTGAATATTGAAAAAAATTTTTTACCTAAGATAAATTTTTTGTTTGCTTTCGAGCCTTTCGTCCGAACGCTCCGAAAAGACCACCTGTATGAAGTAATACCTGCTGAAAAACGACAGTCTAATGTTAATAGCTATTTATTGGAACTTTTCGAATATAGGATCATCTGGTAGCAGTTCGGTTCCTGTTGACAACGCGACGATCGCACAACATTAACAGTCATTTGCCTTAATGTTTCAAGGTAATGTTGATTATTTTGGAGAAAATGTTAGTTACAGTTAGCTTTCGATGCTGTAAATAACCTTAAGATGTGTGCAGCTAAGCAGGAACAATTCACTGCTTTAACGCAATCATCTCCTAAATATTTATGTATAACTGTTAAATAATAGATACAGCAATGCTTAAAGCCATGTTTTGATTGAGTTTTTTGATTTTTTAATCAACAATAGTGTCGATATATGTCTACTTTCTGAAACTTGGTACATTATTTTGTCCGCACTACTGTTAGGTGGAGCAGTTGCAGTCTTAATTCATAATAGATTAATATTTTATGAAATTCAATCAATTACCGATGTGACTGAAACAATCGGCTTGAGTATTCGCGGTGTTAACGGTCACTCTACGCTAGAGTCTATTTTTCTGGTGGATCGTGCTCGCATGAGCTTAAGTTCAAATTGAAAAAGAATCTACCTAAATTTTTGTACGATTTTGTTATTTGTGGCGATTTAAATGTTAGACATTGCAATTGGTGCTGCACAGTAGCAAATTCCTGTGTGGAAATCATAACATTCTCTATAGTAAGTATATTAAATACCAACGAACCTACCTACATTCCATTTGTTTGCAGATCTATACTTTCTTTTTTGGACTTAGACTTGACTAATATAACGTTGCTTATTTCCGAATTGCAAACTTCAGGTGACCACTTCAATTTTCTTTTTTCCTCCAAAGTACTCATAAAAAACAATTTTAGTAATGGCTTCAATTTTCACAAGTGCCAACTCTACATCCACGACAGTGACTATAGCCGACTGTAAACATAACAAACACTATTCAACGATCAGAGCCCAAAAGCTTTGCCTAGATTGACATTTTTGGGCTACTCAAGGGTGTACTGAATTTAATTAATTTTTACAGACAGCATTGGCGTTGTTATCGCCAACAAGTCGGCTGTATAAACGCTCTTAATTACGCGTCCCCAGCGAGGAGTGAAACTTTTATGCTTGAAAATGCATTATAAGTCAGTAAAATATATGCTTTAGATAAAGCAAGGAATTCATTTTGGACTATAGGCAAACTGCTGCGTGAAAAGCGCCACTGCGCCACTTGAATATCAAGTTGGGCGTAAGATTTTTGCAAAATCTCTTGTAGCTTAGGCAAAAGAGCTTTTCAACCTCTAGAATATTTTCCAAGCATACGGAAAACGGCTAAAATCATTCCCATCCCTATACCAGTAAACCGCCAAATGATGTCACTAGTTATCGACCCACAAGTCTATTGAGCTCTCTCCCAGCAAGAACTTTTAAAGCGTGATTAACGAAAGACTATTTAAACTCAGTGTAACGCTTCGCACCAGCTAGTATGCAATTGCCACCGGAAACAAATTTGGTTTTAAGCAATCCATTTAGTTTTAATTGTGGTTGGTATAATAATCTGATTTTTAAAATACCACTTTTTGAATTTAAATTAATCCGGACCCTTTTTTCTGAAACATATTTCTGTGTACGTTTTCTAGATGAACTTTCTGCTTTTTTACATACTTTCTACCTACTTCTGTAAGAACCTGTGTTGGGTCTAATTTTGTATTCGGTTTTCTGTTCTGACTTCGCTAAACTTAATAATTTTCACATTGGTATTTAGCCATCGCATGAATGTGATTGTGGAATAGCTAACAATTAGCAAATTGCGATTGCTTTAATAAATTAAAAATAACCTTTGCTTTCTCCGTTCATCTAATTTGAGAGTTCAAGGTCACGAAGTTAATTTTTCTGACGATGTTAAGTACATGGGAATTATATTAGACAAAAACTTAATTTTTCATAATAAAATTCAGCATATCAAAAAAAAAAAAAGAAAGTACAATATGGCCATAAAAATGCAATCATTAATAAAAAGAGATTCTAAACTAAGCACCGTAAATAAGATTCTCTTAAATAAAGTGTCTTTTAATCAATTATATTGCATGCTCGTCCAGCATAGGGCTAAACAGACTTTAGCACATTAGAAGCACTTCCAACAATATATAGTTATTGCTAAAATAGCCGTATGCGTATTCTTAATTAATATTAATTTAGGAAAAAGTTTAAAACACGATTTAAAAATTAACACTTTCTTTGATCTCAAATGCATCAGTTTATGTCCACGCTCTTGCTGTTAATATTGTTATAGACTAAACATTTTTATATCGCGGAGTTCGAATTTCTTGTTACTTGACGCGTGGAACTTAAATAATCGTTTAAAAAACTTGGGTTAAAGAAAAAATAAAAAGGTTTTCCTTTTTGAGAAGTGAGATTCAATGTGAAGATTAACAAGTTTTGTTTGCTAAACTGATTGGTTGAGATTTTTTATTGACCTTTCATGTCAAGAATTATATATGAATTAAGTAAAAACATTTTTGATTGTTAGGCGATTTTATCATTTATCGGTCATGACCTAGGCACGCTTTAACAATCCAAGTCTTGGATTCTTGTGACCAAGAATCATGAGCGAAAAGCAATCAGAAAATATAGAAACGTTAGAAATACTTCGTTACAATCTGGACGACAAATCTAAAATGCTTGCTGTTGGCGAATAACAAAACTTAAACAGAGTACACTTGCAGAATGAGAAATGTGTTTTTGTGTATGTATAAATATGCTCTATGAATTGTAGGTGTTTATGCGTGCTAAAGTCGGATGTTACCGCCTATTTGGAAAAGGTAACAATACACTTCTATAAATATGGCTTAAATAGTGAGGAAGGGTTATTTAATAAGTTAATATCTGCTAATAGAAGCAAGCGGCAGGTTTAATGCAATAGTAAAAATATAAACTGTCGTAGGTTTGAATGGAATAAATGTAAAATGTGATATAATAGAAACTAAAAGAAAAGTTAAACTTTACTCCATACTTAATAGGTGAGAAAATAACCGAAGATTTCCATTAATAAATAAAACGACGAAAAATAACCAACTAAAATAAACTAAATTAACTAAAATAACTCGAGTTTAGGTGTACCTCTTGCATGTATCATAAAAATTAATAATAAAATAGCTTCAAAAAAAGAAATAAAATATAATGACGGAAGGCAATGATATGCCTAAGGAAACTGTTAATAAAGAAGCAATGACAGATGACGATCATCATGAAAAAGATAAAGAAACCGCTCGTATCATAGAAGAAATAATTGAGGGCATATCTCCGCAACGTCGTCGAGGTACGTTAATACGTACGATTTCGGCAGTTATAAGGTAAATTTTTAAGCAGTGCTAGAAGATAAGTAAAACGAGAATTTGCTTTGAAAGCAAAATGTGCGCGAACGTGTTTCCTAGAAATATAAATAGACTGAATGTACGACCAGCCTATGAAAAAAAAGCTACATTTTTAATACAATTTCATCAATAACTTATAATGAATATTATCAGTTACATAAGTAAATAAATATATCTATGCATATTAGTGAGTACTATCAAACTAACAAAACTGTATTTATGTTTAGTACTGTATTGTTTTATTTGAATAAGTATAATCGTAATTTTGGAGTTTTTCAAACTGACGCGTCTAAAGCGAATACAAACTTCTCAAGTTCTAAGTGTTCTGACAAGAGCAATTTTCCCTTGAGACATATGTGTGCAAAATTATGAACCTATATATAGTTTGCAATATTTGAATGAAAAAATGGTTTTAAAAATGCTATTATGGGCAAATTGTTTAAGGTATTCTTGTGGGTTGCATTAGCGATCTTTATTGGGAACAAAACAGTAAATATCTCCACAAGAAAGTGCATTTGAATTAGTGGTAGTGAACCGACGTCGGTACAATTCAAATTGTCTTTTCTAAAACAATATTTCTTTCACAGCCTTTTTACAGGTCATTTTTTCTTTCACTCTCAGTTTAAGGTTAGAGTAGAAAGACGAAAACAAGTAAGAATGTTATAGTGGGGCAAGTCCGACTGTGAGATACCCCACATCACATGGTGTAATAAAGCAATTCTCTAATTCTCTCAATTATACACTATTTTTATGTAAACGCATAATTTTGATGACATAATTTACTTGACAAAGATTTGATGATAGAACTTTGTCACCATAGAAGATAGCTTTCATGGATGTGCCTATATACAGTGCAGTAAAAAATATGCTTATATAATCCGAATTCCCCATGGTTAACTGGAATTTTCATCAAGTAATATTGAAAATTAGGCCTCTTTACCATACAAAGTTAGTTTCTTACGTGATTAGGCTTGAAAACATTATCCTCCCTATCCAAATTTCCCACTTCTATTTAGAATGCGATTTTTGTCGCGCAATTTTCAAAATTATACTGTTTTTCATGTAATAATTTTCCAAAATAAGGCGTTATTTGTGGAGTGGTTGGAAAAGTGGTCCAATCCGAACCATTTTCAATAACGTTCGTTCTTAGGCCATAACCTGTGTACCAAATTTCATTATTATTTTTCGAAATATTGCGTTCCCTAGGCTGAACACAAGATTAATGGTGTAGGGTGTAAAATCCAAGTTGACTAATTAATAACATCCAAAGGATCGTATTTACAATAAGTTCTAAAAGTTACGAAACATATATTGAGCCAATAGAATATTTTTAAGATGATTTATAAATAGTTAGTAGATTGAAATTCGATTTCTTTTTATCACATCTACTAAATCCTTTCAGTCGAATTTGAAACATAACTGGGAAACCTAATAAGAATATCAAGAAAACATCGCACATATGCTTTATATTAAATTAAATTTTGAAAATCTGTTACATATAATTTCTTTTTGAGAAAATTGCCTTTTTGATTTTTTCCCAAACTTTTTTTCCTTTTTTTTAATTAAAAAATTGAATATTTCGCCTTCTTTTACGGAACGCCATATAGCTTGCAGAAACGTTATTATTCTATAAGACCGTGAGTATTTTTTTTTGAATATCATAATTATGCATTTTTTATTGTGATTGTCGTAGTTATGTCTTTTATTACATACATATATATAAATACTTCTATAGATATTAACATACTTATTAACATTAACGTACATATATACTTCTATAGATATGAATTTGGACAATATTTAAAGATATGCAGTGAGAAGAAAAGATATAATATTGGCAAATCATCGCATGAAGAGAGCAGAAAAGACGAATGACTTTTTTCTTATGTTAATGTCTGTCCGCTTTGCAAGATAAAATATTAAAAATTGAACCTTTTTCCGAAGGACTTTCTATTCATGAGAAATCTTACATGGAGTCGGTTCCAGGATTACTCCGTACTACAAATGGTGGTGTAGTACTGATGCATGTAGCACCCAGAAAAGCTTAAGATAGAGCCCCCTTTCATTGTACTGATCAATTCAGAATCATAATCTGAATTCATCTAAGCATGTTTGTCCGTCTGCCTGTCTGTCTATTTGATGTCCTTCCATGTAAATTTTTGTTGAAACTATAGGTCGCCATTTTTGAGTTATTTTGATGAAATTTGATCCAGGGACGTGTTTTGACCCAAAGCAAACTCTATTGAAAATGGTTCGGATCGGCCCACTTTTTCAACCATTCCCCATATAAGGCCCTATTCGAAAAAATCGTTATAAGGAAAAAAATTGTAATTTTCAAAATTTCTTGACAAAAGTGGCCAAGTAGTAGTATTGGGGCATTCCAAATTGGTATGGAAACTTTTGACTGGCTTTTGAAACCTTTCGACGAAAACTGAAGTTCACGCGACAACGTTCACACTTCAATATTTCATGAAGAAGATTATATAATAAGAGCAATTTATCATAAAAAAATTAAATGAACCAAATTTGGACCTTCTAAGCCTATTTTTTGGATTTTACCATAATAACGATTTACACGAAAATTGACTTTTTGTAGAGCAGAAAGGTCTAAGTTTTAAAATGATGATGATAATTGACCCACAATATTATAGTAATGTCATACAAAAATGAACTCTTCAAAATTTGGGCCATCTAGGTCTATTTTTGAGTCGTGCCATATGTAAGCACTTGCACTACGTAGTTTGCACTACGTTAGGTTGTGTTTTCGGCCCGCTTTCTCATAAATACGCACATGAAAAGTTTGCCGTTATATTGGAACAAAATATAATTTTTGTGTTCTAGAATAAAGATAAGAATTGTGTTAGACAATGTGATGTGGGGTATCTAACCGTCGGCCTTGCCCTACTATAATGTTCTTACTTGTTATAAGTAGTTTGTTTTTATACTATTCGTACATCAGAGCATCAATAGATATTTTCAAGTTTTTCTACGCCTCTCTGAGATCGAATCGAAAGATTCCTTGAATAAAGAAGCAACAAGGTTAAAAATGGGTGAAATGAAAATAGATATGATCTCATAGAATTAAACCAATCGCCAATTTCCTTGTCTAAATAAGGTATTTCATAAAGAAGTTGCAAACTACTTCATGATTCAATTTAAAAGTTGTCTCAGCAACGTGAGATTACAAGTGCCCTAACACGCATCTAATTATTAAGCAGTAAGGAAATTGTTTTCGGTTGTGAGTTCATCACCGCTATCCTAAGAAGGACTAAAAAAAAAGGTAAAAGCAAATTGTTATACGCTGTAACATTCTGTGAGTGTGACTGGTTTTCTTTTTTTTTTGTGGAAGAAAAGTGGTAATTTATATCGTGCATGTTTTGTAGTTTATGAGTTGGAAGCGGAGCGGATAAAAATAAATTTCCTAGAGAAATTCTTAATCTTTTTTTTGCATTTAATAACATTGTAAAGTAGCAACGGCTTATTACGATATTGCGTTTATGTCTACCTTTTTATTCATGTTTATTTCTAAGATTAAATTCGTACCACTGAAGTATAAGTTTTCTAAGATCCTTTTACAAATGTCTTGCCTAAAACAATTTATACAGTCAAACCTGTTTTTGTGCGATAGATAGGGACCGCAGAAAAAAACCGCACAAAAAAAAATATTCAAAAACTTCATAAATAGTTATAAGAAATAATTTTTCACAGCATATTAAAGAAAATTTCTTTTATGCGGTAGAGAGGGACCGCATAAAAAAAGGATCACTTAGAAAATATGTCAAAGCTTTACGAAATAGCAAGAAAGTGCTTTCCAAACAAAATAAATAATTAAATTACACATTGAAACATTTAAAAAAATTTTAATTTCTAATTTTAAACAAGGAGAAATTTTCAAAATGTACATAATTCAATACTACTCGTCGTAGTTCAAAACGCGCATATTAATCCTGTCTTAATGGTTAAAAGGTCAGCAATTAACTAAAATGAAATGAACCTTACAAAATTTGCACCATCTACTCCTACTTTTGAATCCTGCCCCCATGTAAGGGTTAAACTTGCACTGTGTTAGGTTGCGTTTTGGGCCAGCTTCCTTCTAAACGTGCACATGAAAAATATACCTTTATATAGAAACAAAATATAATTTTTGTGTTCTATAATTTGTAAAAAATAAAAAACTTGTTACACTATGTGGTGAAGGATATTTAATCGCCGGCCTGAGCCGACTGTAATGTTCTTAGTTGTTTTCGTAGAACTATGTATTAGATAAATATGAAGTATATGAGAGTAACGTCAAAGCTGAACACTTACAAGTGCAAATGAGCCGTCAAGTCGGTTTCAGTGTCCACGTTCATTAAGATTTCCTATGGCTTGTGGCGCATCTATATGTCTATCTATTTCTTACGACGATTTGCAAATATTTAACTTTGTGTAAGTGTCTGTAACTTTTAAGCAAGCCGAGTGAGATTTTGGATAACCTCCACTGAAGGATTAGGTCGGGCTCATTTCGTCAAAACGTTTGCAAAACTCAAAAGGAAGCTTCATAGACCTGATGCAATAGGTATGAAAATGGCTGTTGCAATGTGTACATACCCACTGATAGCAAAAGAAGTGATGCCAACACAGTTCAAATTGACCTAACCTCTCGGCGAAATTCAATGTGTCGATATTCACATACCGCACAAAAAAAAGAATCGCACAAAAAAAAAATCGCACAAAAAAGCGCATAAAAAAGACCGCACAAAAACAGGTTTGGCTGTATTTACAACCGTTGCAACGCTTCAGCTGCTTTTGTTTTCCCTTGCTGTTTTGAATAGTGGTAACCAATGCTGGATGTAAGCCTGAAATTTTTTAATTTTTTAAATGCTTTCTTTGAATAATGTGTCGAATGGTTCTACCTTGTGCCGATAAAGCATTTCATAACTTTTTCCGCTTTTAAATGTGTGATTTTTGTAACAATACGAAAATATGAAGAAACAAGAGAAAAACTTGTAAATAAATGTAGTTATCTGTGTAGGAAAAAATTTATTAAATTTTAAACAGTTTTGAAAGTAACTCGCAGTGTCTTTTTGACGGTATATCGAACGATCCGAATATTTACATTTTCTTGCATATTTTTCTTTGTAGTATTTTACTAAAATTTTAAAACAATTTTAAAAGGTTAATTCAATCTAAACAAGCGTTTTACCTGTATTCGAGTGCATTTCTATACTCATCACCGAAGGATGAGGGGTATATTCATTTTATCACAAACCTAAAAAGAAGCATCAAAGACCATACAAAGTATATACATTATTAATCAGTATCAAATTCTAAATCGACTTAAGCAAGTCCACCTAACTGTATGTCCGTCTGTATAATGTTGATTGTAAACATTCTCCTGGCCCAAAAATGAAGCTGTCGACTTCAAATTTTGCAGAAACATTGGAAGTTCCTGCACTCAGGTTGGTATTGTAAATGGGCTGAATCGGCCGATGGACACGCCCACAGGACCACACAAACTGAGAATACCTCTGTTTTTCAAAGGAATAAAAAATTGTTTTTTTGCTCATTACTCATAACTTATAGCAGAAAAATATACAAAAATTTGAACGCATATTCTTGCGACATCAGACCTTTCATTTTGCGGTTGCGTTGGAGCGTTACATCAATAAACCACGAACAATGATCTTCAAGAAATTACGCGTTTGTACGTGTTTATTTATTTATTTATTCTACTTATACTAGAAACTCAACTAAACAAATAACAGTCGAGTTCAATTGGCTCTTAATGCAAAACTTATATTAATTAATAATAAAATTGAGTATAAGCATAATAAAACAAATAAGAAGAAAAAAAAAAGAAAAAAAAGCATGTACACTATCAGCATAGGAGCGCACTTACAACCGGTACAGGACCAAATTGCAAATGAACCCCTAAGCCATCGCAAACATGCATAAGCCTGAGTCCGATAACGAGAATAAGGGTTAGACGTCATTTAGGTTCTTGCCAACGACTCTGAGCGGATTGAACAGCTCATAATTAAATTTACTCTGATTAAGCTTAACCAAGATAAAATGCCTAGAGAAGCGGTTAGGGACATTAAAGCTTATTTCACCAAGTAATGAAGGCGAGTCAATGGCACCATTTATGACTTTAATTAGAAAGGAAACGCCAAGAACAAATCTACGTTTCTCAAGAGACGGTAGGGACAGCAGAAGCAACCTATTTTCATACGGAGGAAGAGAGGCAATCGGATCCAAATTTCTAAGGGCAAACAGCAAGAATTGCCTTTGAACAGATTCAATTGAATCTACGTAGCACTTATATGAAGGAGACCATACAACTGAGGCATACTCGAGTATGGGTCTAACCAAACACATGTACAGCCTTTTCGTAATGTAGGGATCATCAAGCTCTTTGGACCACCTTTTTATAAAACCAAGCGCGGATCTAGCTTTGCTAATCGAGAGCTCAATATACAAGTTAAAACGTAACCTATGGTCAAATAGAACTCCTAAACCTGTAATCGAATCGACGTCCTCCAACTTATGCGAATCTATGAAGTACTGAGTAATGAATGACTTTCTTCTTGAGAATGAAAGCTTCTTACATTTACTCAGATTTAGTTTCAGAAGATTCAAAGAGCACCATGCAACAAAATTATCGAAATCACCTTGAAGCTGATGTGATTGCGATTCAACAGAGAAGGAAGAAAACAGTTTCACATCATCAGCATACATTAAGATCTGGCTGGAATTAACCATCGATGGGAGATCGTTAATGTGTAAACTAAATAAAATGGGACCTAAGTGACTTCCTTGAGGTACGCCAGACGTAACGGGGAATTCATCCGAGGTGATGAAGTTAAACAAAACTCTGAAGGATCTATTGTGCAGATAAGAGCTTATCCATTTCACTAAGTAGGGTGGGAAACCAGGGGCTTGGAGTTTAAAGACAAGTAGTCTATGGTTAACCATAGCAAATGCTTTGCTTAAATCAGTGTAAATAACATCTGTGCGGGATCCACTAGAAAAAGCCTTGAAAACATGACAGGTAAACTCTAACAAGTTGGTGACTGTAGATCGCCCTTTCCGAAAGCCATGCTGGTGCGGTGAAATATACGAATTAATGGGAAAGGCCAAATGCTGAGTCACAATACGCTCGAACAACTTGGGCAAGACACTCAACTTGGCTATGCCTCTGTAGTTCTCAACAAATTGTCTACTTCCACTCTTGTGGATAGGAATAAGGAAACTACTCTTCCAACATGAAGGGAAAACACCCTAATACAAGGACATCTTAAAAGTCTTTGAGATCACACCACACAACTCGACAGCGCAAGATTTAAGTACACATGATGGAATTCCATCAGGTCCAGGCGAACAACTGTATTTTAGAGAACTCAACCCTTTAAAAACGTCATCTTCCGAAATAACCAAGTTAGGTATTGAAACCGAGTTAGTTATAGGATATGGGTAGTTTGCTGATGAATCGAAATTAGCAATCGGAAAGTTTCGTCGGAAATACTCAGCAAATAGATTTGAGATTTCAAAATCATCCGAGGAATCAGAGCCATTAAAAGAAACATGAGAGGGATATGTGGAAATTTTTCTTTTAGAGTTAACAAATTTAAAGAAGAATTTAGGATTAGCAAACAGAGAGGACTTAATGAACTGAAGTTATTTGCAGTAATAATGATGGTTGAGGGAGTTAAATCTATGCCTCGCCACCGAGTAAGCGACATAGTCGAGCGCAGAGCCACTTTTCGAATATTTTTTGAATAGCGAGTTTTTTCTATTCTTGTGATATTTAATTGTCTTATTAAACCACGGGGGACACCTGCTTCGAGGTCGACACTGCTTGATCGGAACAGATGCAGCAATAGCTAGATGTAATGTATTGTAGAACGATGACAATAAGCGTTCAATACTACGGGTTGAGAAATCAAGCGTCAAATGTGAAAGACGATGTTTTAGTAATACAATATTGATTTTATGAAAATCATAATAATTATTTAAAAAAGTTTGATTTGGCACATTAAGGCATTTCAACAAACCATCATTAATATGATGAAAGGATAAGCATATTGATGGATGATAAGGATCCTCAGGTAAACTAAAAGGTGGACAACGATTTATGTAAATCTCGGGAAAATTGGCAAAGCAGAGATCAAGTAGTCTACTATTAAAATTAGGGGTACGATTATATTGACCCAAATTATGATCAAACAATTCACTAAAGAACACAACAGCCCTATCAGACGTTGAAGTAGGAACCAAACAGCCAGAATTATCAGTGCTACGCCAAGTGACTTGAGGCAAATTGAAGTCACCCAATGCAACGACCAAATCGGTGGGTCTAGACCGCTTGGCCACTTCACAAATGAGGGCAGCGTGTTTCTTGTAAATGGAGATATCAGAATGTGGGGGAATATAGGAGCAGGTTATAAATAGATGTTTATCAGGCATATTCGCACGAATAGCGATAAATTCAACGTCAGGAGAAGTGGGAAATTCAATTAAATTGGACGGGACTGACGCAGATATGACAATTAATACACCACCACCAATGCGATTCACTCGATCATTTCTAAAGACTTGGAAAGAATTATGAAAAAGTTCCGACGAATGAAGATCGGGTGTTAGCCAAGTTTCAGTAAAGGCCAAACAGAAAATTTCCGTGCTCACTGAATTTAGAAGAGTGGAACGAATTTTCGAATTTAGGCCCCTAACATTTTGATAAATGAGAGATAGTGGGCCTGAAGAAACAATTAGTTTTTTGAAGGCGACAAGACTATTGCCTTGGTATTACGGGGACGATCTCGAGGGATACATTCCTTAATTAAGGATCCTACTGGCCACAGTGATTTTTTAACAACATATCACTGTTTTCAGTCGGAACTAATATTTTAAAAGAAGAGCCATTTTGAAGATGCTAACATGTTTTAAGTTGACTGATGGGACTTTCATCGCCAGATAACTTTTTATGTTATCCACCGAAGTTTCAGGTGCCAGTCTTGACACATGGTAGGAGAGTTTCGAGTTGGAGAGAATATAGATGGGGTTATCGCCCTTGTACCTGCAGCTTGTGAGTCTTGCCCAGTCTGGGGACCAGCATTCACACGTGAACAGCCAGGAGGAGAGGATGATTTATTTTTCTTTTCATTACTTTTAGGCTGTGGCGCTTGATTAGAGTGAGCGGCGGCTCTGGGCGGAGATACCCTTGCCACTTCAGCGTAGCTTAAAACCGATGGACTTGCCGGTTTGTTTGTAACTGTTTTGCTACCAACCGACTCAGCAATATCGGAAACATTACTGTTCATTTTAGAGTTAGAGGGAGCGGTAACTTGTACCAACGAATTAGATTTGGAGAAAGCCAGAGGTGACGTCCCACACGCTACGCTACGAGTAGAAGATGAGTGTCCAATAAAGCGACACTCATCAGACCTAGACTTAATGAGCTCAAACTTTTCCCACAAGGAGCCGAGATTTCTACTCAATTCCGAGAAACCATAACGGGTCTCCGTGAAAAGTTTATAAAAATCAATGTCCCGCTGCTTACAGTCAGGACATGACCATCTTAAGCCTTTAGACGGGTCAGCGACTGCGTCAGCAGCACGGCCGAGAATACCGGCACACTTTGCATGACCAAAGCGCTCGCAGAGCCAACAAGAAACGAATCTATCAGAATCTGGGCCCGATTTCGCCCGACAAGGTGTATATAAACACTCCATGTCCAGTCAAAAAGACAGTTATGGATTATGAAGAACGGACACAAAAATCACTAAAAACAAATCCTGAACATAAAAATTTATCAACCAAATTTGTGCAAAACTTCTCTGTTACGTTGACACTGTAACGAGCGATCAATAGCAACACAAACTCCAAACAGCGAAAAAATAACAGAGAAAAAAGAGAGAAAACAAAAAAAAAGAGAGATTTATATCAGAGCTCAAAATTTTTGTTTGCAAAAATCAAATGAATCAAAGCGTAAAGGAAAAAATATTTCTTTTACTTTGAATTCACTCACTTTCTTCTCAAAGTATATTATACACTATAAGGCAGAATAGCCACGAAATTCAACAAAAAATTAAAATATTAATTGCCGAAACAAAATATAGACGACTATACCGCGCGCAGAGTTGCCAGACGACGTTACGTGTTAGAGCACGCTCAAAGCAAATTTATGTAAAAAGGTGACAAAACTGGATTGAATATTTACAGAATAAAATAAAGGGTGATCATTTATACGTGAAATCATTTTTAAATAAAAATGACATGACCCGATATCTGAAATAAAAGAAAATTTATCTTGATATTATTTTTTCCCAAATTACTCCTTACTCCACGATGATATATGCTTCAGTGGTATATTTGTGTTTGTCTTTGCAAATATTTCATAATCAATATACGTAATTTACCATTTTAGTATTTTTTGTTAAGTTTTCTTTCGTTAAAAAATTGCAGTCATCGCGAGCAAGAACAACGCAATGCGGAGGATGTTTTGTTTGATATGTTCTATAATGAAGAGACGGGTTTCATTTCAATGGGTAAATTTTTGGCGGCTCTTAAGACAACCGGTATACGACGTAATGACCCGCGCATTCGTGAGTTGATGGATAATCTAAAGAAAGTTCATAAGCTGGCCAACTATGAATCGGGTTCATCGCCCGAAACACAAAATCTTAATCGTGAGACATTTAAAGCGTAAGTTTTCTTCTGCAAAGAATTAATTTATTTTAATCCAGTAGTTTTTTTTTTTGTTTACAGTGTGGTGGCGCAAAATATTGTTTTAATTGCTAAAGCGTTTAGACAACAGTTTATCATTCCGGATTTTTCGGGCTTTGTAAAAGATGTAGAAGACATATTTTGGAAATGTAAGACATTCGCTGCGGGGAAAGTGGCCGATTACATACCGCAACTGGCTCGCTATAGTCCCGATTCATGGGGTGTTAGCATTTGTACTATAGATGGGCAACGTTATTCTATTGGTGACGTTGATGTTCCATTCACACTCCAAAGTTGCAGGTAAATTGATTTGAGTTAATGCTAAACTCACCTTGATGTAAGTTAGGTTTATACACAAATCAGGTCTAAATACGTATTTCCATTACAAATAAGATGCAAAGTATAAGCATCATCATTTCCAAATAGCAATTGAAATTTCTGAAGGTCGATTGTAAAATCAAAAAATAAATTGGGAAAGTGCTAATATTTTTCACTGCACGTAAGCGAGAGTGGAGCAGCGTGTAATTAGGCATAGAGAAAATGAGTACAGTAAAAGCTCCTTATTCGCGCTTCCTTTATTCGCGGTTCCACTATTCGCGGATGGAAAAAATGCGACCCAATTCCCATATTCGCGGCTATAAATTTCTTTATTCGCGGATTTTTTGTGACTGGTTCCGGATTTGTTTTGTTTCTGAAGTTGAAACTTATTTAAAAAAACTGAACTTAGACTTTGAAGCACTTCTAATTTTGTACAATGCATCAGGTCATCCTCGCGCACTTGAAACTATGCATCGAAATATAAAAGTGACATTTTTACTACCCAACACGACGGCTTTGCTTCAACCTAAGAACCAAGGAATAATCCAGCCTCTATTTCATTAGACGAATCTTCAAAATAATAATGGATAATATGGAATGTAATCCTGATATGAATGTTATGGAATGCAGGTAGAAATTTGACATAGCGAAATGTGTCGTAAACATAAAAGAATCATTGGAAGAACTGAAGCCACACAAATTGAAGTCATGCAGGAAAAAACCGTGGCCTGTTGTGACTGCGGGAAATGACGAAGAATATGTGCAAGTTCAAACTTTGACCGCAAACATAGCCGAAATCGCGAATGGAATAGGACGAGATGGCTTCGAACAGATAGAATCAAGTCACATTCAGGAATTGCTTGAATCGCAAGATAAAGATTTGACTGAAACCGACTTTAACAGGCTTTAACAAGCACTGGAAACGTGACATTTAATTTGGAAAGTCTTAGTGAAGGTTTAAGAATGACAAATGAGCTTGGCGATTTCTTTATGAACATTGATTGACGTATCCCTCGCGAATAACGAGGTTTTACTGTATATATTTCCTTTCCAATGGCATCGTAGAAAACTCTAATTTTTTGTTATTCACGTTTTTTGAACTCAATAGCGTTACTAATATTAAAATTTTCTTTTTTTAGCAAACCTCTGACTTATGCTATAGCTTTGGAGAAACTGGGTGCTAAACTGGTGCATTCTTATGTAGGGCAGGAACCAAGCGGTCGTAATTTTAATGAATTAGTCTTGGATTATAACAGTAAGCGCCGTTTTAATTATCGAATGATAAAATTTTTCTGTTTATTGTCTGTTTAACAGATAAGCCTCATAATCCGATGATTAACGCGGGTGCTATATTAACATGTTCTTTGATTCAAGCCTTAATAAAACCAGAGATGACAGCAGCCGAGAAATTCGATTACACTATGTCGTGGTTTAAACGTTTATCGGGTGGTGAAAACATTGGTTTCAACAATGCTGTTTTCTTGTCGGAGCGAGAAGCAGCCGACCGTAATTATGCTTTAGGATTTTACATGCGGGAAAATAAATGTTATCCAAAACAAACTAATTTGAAAGAAGTCATGGATTTTTATTTCCAAGTAAGCTGCTATATATATGGTTACATAGAAAATTTATTGTCTATTAACGTGCTAATTGTTGTTCAAACAATCAAGTGTTGTTCAATGGAAACTAATTGCGAATCTGTGTCTGTCATAGCCGCCACTTTAGCTAATGGTGGAATTTGCCCTACGACCGAAGAAAAAGTCTTTCGTCCGGAGGTAGTACGCGATGTCTTATCAATCATGCACTCTTGCGGGACTTACGACTACTCTGGGCAATTTGCATTTAAAGTTGGTTTGCCTGCCAAATCTGGTGTTAGCGGCGGTATGATGTTAGTTATACCCAATGTTATGGGTATCTTCACATGGTCTCCGCCCCTCGACCAATTAGGTAATTCGGTGCGTGGTATGCAATTCTGTGAGGAATTGGTAAATGTTTTTAATTTCCACCGTTACGATAATTTGAAACACGCTTCCAATAAAAAAGATCCACGAAAGCACCGTTACGAGACCAAGGGATTGTCCATTGTGAACTTATTGTTTTCGGCTGCGAGCGGCGATGTCACCGCTTTGCGTAGACATCGTTTGTCTGGAATGGATATCACTCTGGCCGATTACGATGGTCGCACAGCCTTGCATTTGGCGGCTTCAGAGGGACATTTAGATTGTGTGAAATTCCTCCTCGAACAATGCCATGTGCCACACAATCCCAAAGATCGTTGGGGAAATCGTCCGATAGATGAAGCCGAGAACTTTGGCCATTACAAAATTGTAGAGTACTTAAAATTATGGGCGGAGAAATCCCATACTGGTGAAGATGTGAAAACAGAGATTGTACTTAAAAACACTGACGCGGACGAGGTTGGATTAAAAACATATTAATTTATTATATATTTAATTCTATCGATCTTAAAAAATATTCTAAAGGAAATTCTAACCGATGAATTGAACAGTGAATATGATCGCAGCGTTACCGCCACTCAGATGCCTAAGGAATTCAGCACTAGTAGCGGTTCAGATGATAGTACTCGACCAGGCCTTTGAACAATATCTTCCTTTCCAAAAACATAATTTCCAGATTGTGAGTTGCAAATGCCTACTCTAAAGTATTATTGATATTTTTTTATAGTTAAAATAATTTTTACAATACTGTGCAGCTGGAGTTGTTATTTCGGTATCTTAAAAGTAAAAAATAAAACATGTGACAATAAGCAACATTCTCAGTCTACACAAATTTTTAAATTGTCATTGATTCCGTATTTTGAAGTTTAATAAGCGTCTCCATGTTTTCAAAATAGTATTATTGATTTTAAGAAAATTTGCAAGGTGTGCGAAAGACGTGTTTCATCAGTAACTTGAGATCTATGTCTGTATATTTTTGAAATTAAATTCATATTTTTCTTTGTCAATTTTCTAGTTTAAGATTTATCTTACTTTATGTAAAAATAGATAAATATTAAATTTACTTCGTCGCACATTAAATGATATTAAATGATATTGTAAAATAAACTGATTGATTGATATTTATTAAAATCCATTTGTTGGCGTGTGTAAGCAAATATAATACTTTACCGAAAACGTTGTCCTTATGCACAAGTTCTGGGAGCTCCTTTAATTTACTTAAGTTATAGTCCAGCGTAATAGAAACATTATTTGCATATGAAGGGGAAAAAAAGAGTAATGCAGTTTTCAAGTAAAACAAATAAGAAAGTTACATTCGGATGGGTCCAAATTTTGCATACCTACCATTAAAATCTTTAGCGCCCCGTACTTTTTCTAAGATCATAAAAAAGGGGAACGGATAAAATTTAGCTCTCGTTGTTTAAAAAAAGAAAAGCACCACGTTGTCACGTCCACTATAATGAATTTAGAATTAGCATACTTGGCTTTTCGCATTTTATTCTTTTGCTTCATACCCACGTCGCTAGTATTGTTAAGAAAATATTAATCCACCAGGTCGTTGTGCCCACAACATTTACTTTAGAATTAGCGCACTTTCAGGTAGATACATTTGAGGAATGTACAAATTAAATTTGCTTTAAGCATTCAAAAAAGTGAAAAAAAATTTAATGATTTGTAACTTTGTGGGAGCATGGACATTTTTTCCATTTTTGCACGAAAATAGTAAAGTAAACGTGGAAATTTCAAATCATCTATCGTTCTTTCTCCCATGGTAAGGAACAAAAACCCACAACTTTTTGCTTAGAGAAACGGGTTCTCCTTTACTTTACGGTTTGCGTGCGTGTAGCCTGGACCATTATGGTGCATTTTCAATATGTATGCAAAGTGCATTTAATGTTTCTTCCAAACTTGAAGTCGATATCTCCATTTTTGTAACCAGAAGAATTGTTACCACACACATTACACTAACGGGCAGACGGACAACCTAATCAGGAATGTGTACAAAGTTAGTGGGACTTCTAACAGATGGCAGAAGCGTTTTGATAGAATAAATGTCCCTCTAGCCATTGGTGCGTAGGTCCAAAAATGGCCTTAGGGAAAAAGATGATTGCTTCTTCTTTTCGCGAAGTAACCATCGAAACAGCGGAGAGATTTGTTGGTCTGAAGGAATTTTGAGCCTTTTTTTTTCTCTTTAATCCGGAAGTTATTAACTAACGTACCACAGCGAAAAAATTGTTAAACGCATGCGTGGAACCTTTCAATATTTAATTTTAAGGTGCCCAGTCTATAAAACCAGGGGCATCTACCACTCCTTACACATGCATTTTTAAAAGCTAATCAACGTTTGCTTAAAAAGTTAAATTATGTGAATTAAACGTTTCGGTTTCGGGTTTGTAGCTTTCATAAACCATCCGGCTTATAACCAACTTGTGCTATATGTCAGCTCAGCCCAAAGTATTTGTGCTTTCCAGGCTCGTGAAAAAACACCATTTTTGTAATCAAGATGCTCACTTCACGTATTGAATAACTTTCCGTTAATATCACAGTTGTTCTAACAGAAAGATGTAACTTATCAATTCTATTTTTACGTTCACCACTGTAAGATTGCGGTATACTTATTTTGTTTTGTTTCATAATGTATGTAACACCTTTATGGAAGCTTCGAAGATCATACAAAGTAAACTCTTGATCAGGTTGTCTATCTTTTGCGTGTTCGTGTGTTGTCTGTTGCGTGCAACTACAAATTTACCTATCTTCTTGCTAAGGACTCTATGTAAACTTCCTATCGTATCTCTCAGAATGTCAATGTTCTTGCAAAAGAGAAACCGGACTTGAACTCCTTTTAAGACGAATTTATTCCATATTGTTTTATTAGTTTTGGTTCTAATGCATTTGTTTATTGACTTCATAAAAAAAGATGTTTTTTTATATCGATTAAAAATTTTTGATTGTTTTCGATTCCAAACTTAAAAACCGAATTCGCTTTTCTTTTAACTGTTTTTCTTCTAAAAATTGTTTTGGGGGTGACTTTAATTTTTAATTGTTTTTGGTCATTATTTCGTTTAATGGTCGAGCTGTAAAACATTACACACTTGCTAAAAGTAAATCCACAGGACAGAAAACTGGCGCGTTGGATGGCTTGCTGAATCTGGTTTCCAGTTGCTGCCGGGACATAGCGTAAGGCTAAGTGGAAAGGTAATTGATTGACATATGGGTCTACCCAACGTTGTGTTAGACGACTGTACATAATTAGGGTGCAACTAACTGTTGGCGAGATCATTTGTGATGTTACTGGTTGCCCTACAAGTGATAAGGTAGGTTGAGGTGGAGGTCGAGCTGCATTATTTCTGCTCATATTTTGTGTGTTAGATGGCCCTCTGTTGATTTTGCCAATACCGCTAGATTTTTGCTGTATATTGTTTGACTTCCTGCTTCGAGCCTCGAAGGCTTCAACTGTCTCAGTTCTGGTGATGTTGACACTGTTATCTTGTCAACTAACTTTACTAATGTGTCCCGTGCTGGTTACATTTTTTGTGAGCAGTTTTTTCGCCCTTCTACACTTCGAGCTCTCCGATATTTTCTACATTGATTGCAGAGATAAGATTCGCCCGACTTAGTATAACATTAGATTTAACGATTTTAATTAACGCCTGCTCAGGTAGGTTTTTCCTTATCCTGAGGGCTAGGTCCTAGGCGAACTGGTTTGCTGATGTCCAGTTGAAGTTGCGCTATATGAAACGACGAAACAATTCCGAAAACTTCTACTGCCTCTTGATGGTCCGTGTAAGACAACTGAATTTGAATAAATTAAACCTCCACCAGTGTGTTTATTAGAAAAACCCAAGATATTTTAATCTTTTTCGGTACGAATGAAACCCCCACCAGTTTGTTTATTAGAAGAACACAGCTGATTCCAACTTTTTGTGATATGAACCACCAGTTTGTTTATTAGAAAAACACAAGAAATTTGAACTTTTCGTGGTATGAATAAAACCTTCACCACGGAACTGATAATTTTTCGCAATGAATCAAAATCTCCCATCGGCCATGACACCCGCTAATAGTTTTGGTTTCTCAATATTTTTGTAAACGAAATAGCTCACAGTGTGCTGAACCCGAGGTTGAGAAGATCAAGATCAGTTTACATTCAAAGAATTTGTTGCACTGACTCTCATTCCTCTATTCGTTGATTATTAAATAGTCTTAAACAGTCTTAAACAGTCGTAAACACTTCTAAACACTTCAAAATAACAGCAAAATTTACCATCAAAACCTTCGTAATATGCGGCCCAGCTCACCTTTCGGCAGAGCGATTAAATTATTTGAGCGGGCATGCTGGGCCGCATGACAATGAAAAAGAAACAAAACAACGAAAATGCAAATTAAAGAAGATTTGGTCCTTGAAAAACTGTGTAAGTCCGTTTATGAAATCTGTTGTCGGTCGTTCGTTGGTCCGGGTTTAGTCCGTCGATATCTGTCCAGGGCGCCCCTACTTTCCTTCACGCGCGTACCCGTCCATACTGATTTTATAGCCAAGCAATTACAAATTTTAATTTTTTTTCTTATTACCACTGACATTTTGATTTACATCTAATAATACCTGACCGTTGAGAAGATGAAGGGCCAGCTAGGGAGGTGGCATCATCTTGCAGACACAAGCTGGCTGCTCCAGGTTTTATGTTCAGGATTTTTTTTTTGCGATTTGTCTGTCTGTTCTTCATAATCCACAACTGCCTTTTTGACTGGACATGGAGTGTTTATACACACCTTGTCGGGCAAAAACGGGCCCAGAATCTGATCAATTCGTTTCTTGTTGGCTCTGCGAGCTCTTTGGTCATGCAAAGTTTGCCGGTATTCTCGGCCGTGCTGCTGACGCAGTCGCTGACCCGTCTAAAGGCTTAAGATGGTCATGTCCTGACTGTAGGCAGCGGGACATTGATTTTTATAAACTTTTCACGGAGACCCGTTATGGTTTCTCGGAATTGAGGAGAAATCTCGGCTCCTTGTGGGAAAAGTTTGAGCTCATTAAGTCTAGGTCTGATGAGTGTCGCTTTATTGGACACTCATCTTCTACTCGTAGCGTAGCATGTGGGACGTCACCTCTGGCTTTCTCCAAATCTAATTCGTTGGTACAAGTTACCGCTCCCTCTAACTCTAAAATGAACAGTAATGTTTCCGATATTGCTGAGTCGGTTGGTAGCAACACAGTTACAAACAAACCGGCAAGTCCATCGGTTTTAAGCTACGCTGAAGTGGCAGGGGTATCTCCGCCCAGAGCCGCCGCTCACTCTAATCAAGCGCCACAGCCTAAAAGTAATGAAAAGAAAAATAAATCATCCTCTCCTCCTGGCTGTTCACGTGTCAATGCTGGTCACCAGACTGGACAAGTCTCACAAGCTGCCGGTACAAGGGCGATAACCCCATCTATATTTTCCCCAACTCGCAAATCTACAGTGAACCCCCCTCCTGTTCCAAATAATGACATTTGCTTGACGGCAGTTCCTCCTAGAAAAGCAATATTTGTGTCAAGACTGGCACCTGAAACATCGGTGGATAACATAAAAGTTTATCTGGCGACGAAAGTCCCATCAGTCAACTTAAAACGTGCTAGCATCTTCAAAATGGCTCCTTCTCAAGCTAGGGCAATCTCCTCTTTTAAAATATTAGTTCCGACTGAAAACAGTGATATGTTGTTAAACAAATCACTGTGGCCAGTAGGATCCTCAATTAAGGAATGTATCCCTCGAGATCGTCCCCGTAATACCAAGGCAATAGTCTTGTCGCCTTCAAAAAACTAATTGTTTCTTCAGGCCCACTATCTCTCATTTATCAAAATGTTAGGGGCCTAAATTACAAAATTCGTTCCACTTTTCTAAACTCAGTGAGCACGGAATTTTTCTGTTTGGCCTTTACTGAAATTTGGCTAACAGCCGATCTTCATTCGTCGGAACTTTTTCATAATTCTTTCTAAGTCTTTAGAAATGATCGAGTGAATCGTATTGGTAGTGGTGTATTAATTGCCATATCT